TAAATATGAAGCTGAAAGGATAAGTCATGTGTCCTTTTGGGCTGAGATATCAGCAGGATGCTGATGATCCCCAGATACACATTTCCATCCCAGGCTTCCTTACGTTTGGGTACCATAAAGATCCAGATAGGAAGAAACAAACTGAACTCAACTACCAGTAAGACTGAGCTGTTTGCCCAGAATCCATGTGGCTCTTTGCCAGTTCCAGTGGTGTCTCTGGATTATGGAGTGACACATTATGGCATATGGGTTTTAGTGGCCTGGCATGGCTGCTGTTCTGCTGGCATAAGCCAACACTGGACTGAGTAAAAAGAGAAAAAGCAGCTCCCTTTTGGCCTTGAAGGGCAGTTACACTATCATGAGGCCTGATGAGCTGAGCTGGCTGCTAGCTAGGGCTGGTGTGCAGAGATTTTGAGTCAGCAATCCCATTGGTGCAGGAACATATGTAGGTGATGGGGACTAGAGCCCTGGGGGGACACCCACCTCCTCAGTTGCTGTGGGACATGCTGCTGGTCTAACCAAAAGTTGGGGAGAAAGAGAGAGGAGTGGAGAGTAAAAAACTGTAGTCAGAGTGAATGGAGTAGCTGGAGTGAAAGGCTGGAGAGAAGTTGAAGTGAAGTGCCGCCTGGAGTCACTTAGTGTATAGTGAAATGGGCAACATATAAACATTTGAAAAATAAATAAATAAGTGTGCAGAGCAGTTGTTGGTTACTTTTCAGGGAGAGGAGAAGAATGGGACAGGGGGGTTTCCCTGGAAGGGAAGACCCAGACAGACGAGAGCTCACGCCAGGCCTAAGAACAGGAAGGAGGGACCCAGCTGGCTGCAGACAGCAGTTTCACCCACGACACTGGAGGGAACAGAGGGAGATGGCTACCAGCAGAAAAGACGTGGTTTGGGGGGAAAAACTGGGCAGAAGACCCTGAGAGCAGTTCTTTGCCAACTGGAGATGGTGAAGGTGTTCAGCTGAGCTGGAGAAACTCTAGCCATGCTGAGCACACTACAATAATCCCATCCTTTTATTTTCTTTTCACACTCTCTCTCGTCAAGCCCAAGGACAGGGGAGAGAGACAGAGAGAAGCGGGGAGGAAGCAAGAGAGATAGACTGGGAAAGTTGCTGGGAGCGAGACTTGGGAGGAAACTTGAGCCCAGGACTGTGATGTTCAGCCCTGTTGTAAATACTTGCTGTAAACAACTGTATATAGTAAAAAGCCTAAAAGCCTCCACTGTCATGTGCTTCTGTATCCATCGCCACCTTTGCAAATAAATGCACCTCCAGTTCAGAAACGACACACACCCCTTCAAACAGCAGGTGCAAGAGCTGTGGCTTCTCCTAAGTCATGATTTTTGTTTGATAAGGAGGCAATGTCTATAGCTAAGGGATCTTTGCCCAGCCTTAGCTATAACTAGCCTCTAGTTGGGGCTCTTCTCAAGAATGCAAATCTGCACACAGTGATTCATACTCTTGTTACATCCTTGTTAGATTACTTTACAGTAATGTGTGGAACCTTATGGTTCTCCACTGATTCCCAGTAGGGGTCAGGATGTAATCTGAGGTGGTGAGTTTGTGCAGTAAAGCACTATATAGCTTTACTCCCAGATCCCTTCAAGCAGATCCCACCCCATATCCCATGCAGGAGTGCGGTGTACCCCCCTCCCGTCAGGTAATCAGGAAAGATGATAAAAACTGTCTTTTCTCTGTGGGACTTACCCTTTGGAACAGCCTAAAGGAAAGGCTGATTACTTTTGAATCACACCCTGCCAGGAGACTTTCTGGAATGGTGGTATGAAAACACAGTCAATAAAAAACTTAAAAAGGAATTCATGAAAGGAACTTGGGCAAAGTAAATCCTGAGGATTAAACAGCTTCAGAAGGAACCTTACCGGAGGATCTTTTCTGAGGCGGATCCTCCTGAGGGATTCCCCCAGAGAACAGCTCCAGGGAGGGATCACCCTCCTTTCCTCCAGGAGGTTCAGCAGCCATTTAACTCAAAGGCGCCTGGACCTGAAACAGCACCAGGAGAAAACTCCAAGGGAAAAGATCAGGAAGCACCAGCAGAATAAGCTCCACAAGGAGGAAGTGGCGACCGGCAAGGAATCTTACGAGTGCCCCACGAAGAAGCATTTAAGACTCAAATTTCCAATACTTTCTCACAAGTCACAGCCGGGCCTTTCCTTCTGCCTTTTGGGAGTTCACTTATTCTCTCTGCCGAGATGCAGAAAGAAATCCAAAGATTTCTCTCCATCAAAAGCAACCTTCCTTGGAGATGCAGGAGGACAGAAGAGCTCCCCCGCTTCACATGGCTACCATCCTACTGGCTCCACCAGCCTTTCCAAGGGCCCTCAAGACCCTGAAGCCCCTTTCCTTCGTTTCGTGTCCATTCTGATTTCTCATCTCTGCCACCTTTGCTCTTCTCGTTCTGTGTGTTTCCTCGTTTTTAAACGTTTCCAATGGTTTGTAAACAGCCCAGAGTCGCTGTGAGTCCCGCGGTATATAAACGGAGTAAATTATCACTGCTCTTATTAACGCCTCGGCTTCTCAAGGGAAGAGGAAACACGTGGGAAAGTCATGCACGCGCACACAGAAACCCTTGCATTCCGAACGTTTTCCAAAGATGCTTCTTCGGAAGCATAAACCCGGGAGGCAAGGAGCTGGGCCCTCCGGGGCTCGGCTTCCCCCGGAGCGGCCCCTGAGGACCAGCCTTTCGGCTCCGGCCGGGAGAGAAGCGCCTGCTGGCCCACGAAGCCCCGGCGCTGATCGGGACGGAGAGGCCGGACCCCGCGCGCCCTCGCCCGCCGGAGAAGCTGTCCGGGCCGAGCCAAGAGCCTCTGCGCACGGGGGCCCGGGGGCCCAGCAAGGCGGCAGCCGCGGGGAAGG